CTCTCTCTCTCTCTCTCTCCCTCTTTCCCACCTCCATCTTTCTCTTTTTGTCTCTCTTCCGTTCCTTTGTTTCAATCATCGTCTTTTTTCTCTTTTCCGTTCTCCCTTTTCTTGTTTATTTTCTTCTACTGAAGAAACGCAATAGCTACCGGTAAATTTTCCTTCCAAATCATTTCCCAGAAAATTTCTCAGTCTTCTTTAGGATTAAATTCTTAGACCAAGATTCTAAGAAGCATTTTTAAGAGCTGTTTAAAATATTAAATCTATCCTTTGTGTTGCTTTTGTTAGCAAATATCAGAAATTATTCATCGATTCTGATTATAAATTCAGCGTTTTGAGCGTATCTTCTCATACCGAGAAAATATACGATCTACTTTTATACAATTATACGTGGTGAACACTTTGCGATTTATGCAGTGTAGATTGCTTTGTAATGTAACTAAAGCAAAGAAGATTTCGATTAAAAAAATGCATCTTCAATTTTTAAAAAGTAATTATTGCACTCTGTGTTGGAATGTGTCACGAAAAAAAAATGATTTCGTCTCTTTCTCTCCTGCTGTCGTAGCGACGGACGCAGTCTCCACTTCTGAGACTGAAAACTACCCTCCTTCTCATTCCAGCCTTTCACATAGAGCTTGATAACTCACCTATGCAAAACACCAACAAGCCAGCTACCAATCACAGTTCCCGCGCCTGCCCACCTCCAATCACTTTGGGGATGTCAAGTTGACCGACCAACTCATTACACCCCCCCTCCTAATCTTAAGATCACAAAGCTTCTTAGTTCGAGAGATGGTTGCGTCTGTCTAGTGACTGCGTCCGCATATATACAACTTGCACGCTTGACATATTGGGATAACCACACATGCGCGAACTCGTTTGCTCCGAGGTGGCAGATTTCGCGATTCATCCCGTGTCTCGCTGTCATGATCGCACACCGTGCAACTCGGGGCAGGCCTCTTCTGCCGGGCACTCCTTCTGAGCGAGATGACAGAGTCCTCATCCTCGGATGAACTCTCATCCGTTGAGCTACCATCCGCCTCTGGACAGCTGGCCACGTTGACGTCCGTAGGTAGAGTAGTGATGTTTGAGGTAGAACTCAGTGGATCCGACTTTAAATACACCACTCGCACACCATCTTCAGAGTCACTTTCGTCATCTGATGACGGTTTTAACCTTACAACTGGCCGCAAGTCTTTAACATGACGAGGCACGCCATCAACACGCACTGACTGCGGGCTGATAATCTCAGTAACATGCGCCATTCTAAGCTTGTCCGTACACTTGCTGTGCGGGGTCTTAACCCACACTACGTCACCAATTCTGTATTTAGCTTGCGCGTCGCTCGGAGCCATTGTGATGTCAATGCCTCGCAGCCGTAAGTGATAGGCGTGCACCATGTTAGCCGGTGCTGTTGTAGGCGAAACACCGTCTTTAGGCGTCGCATTATACCAATAGACTGCTTCGAGGATCTAACATCGCTTCCTGGCTGCAATCACTTTTAGAGACCGGTGGCTCCTTTCTACTATGCCGTTTCCCGCCGGCACGTAGGCACACCGGAACCGAAGCTGCACCGGAACCGAAGCCGCACACTTCTTCAAGAACTGCGAGAATTGCTCTGAAGAAAACGCCGCACCATTATCTGTCAGTATTTCTGCCCGGTGGCCCCCGGTCGTAAAAGATGGATTTCCAATTGACGTATTATGCTGGCAGTGTCCTGCCGGTGCAGTAGTCGCCAAATGGCAAAGCGAGAGGGTCCACAGTCAATAATAGTCAAATAGTGCTGGCTGCCAACATGCGTAACATCTAACCCCAGCCTGTTCCAAACATGGGTAGTACTCAAGTTTCCTTTTTGCCATTGCACCGGTGCCGGGTCAATTGACTGGCACGCCTCGCATCTCTGCACTAGTTCTAACATCCGTCTTTTTGACTGCCGGGTCGACCATCTTCGAGAAGTAGAGCGTCCGTTTAATCCCAGGATGCCCACACTGTTCATGTATGCTCATGATCCGCTCGAGGTCCATACTGAGCGCAGAAGCCGTACACGGCAGCTGCAGAGGTTCAGACTCTTTTCGAGCAGCAGCCAACCAACGTTGCGGAACGCGAGTCAATGCATCTGCTCTGTTGACAGCAAGAGCGCTGCCTTTCAAGCGCAGTGGAAGAATCCGTTTAATCTTCGTGATCTCGCATAATTCGCAGACCAGTTCCACCTTTTCGATCCATTCAACCACAGACTGGCCACTCGTATCACCACTGAATTCGGAGATCAGTTTTATGTCGAACGGTCTTTCCGCCATCTTGCTGGAGACAAAGTAAATGCCGAAATAGCTTGTGTTGGAATGTGTCACGAAAAAAAAATGATTTCGCCTCTTTCTCTCCTGCTGTATTCACTTCTGAGACTGAAAACTGACTTTCTTCTCATTCCAGCCCTTTACATAGAGCTTGGTAACTCACCTATGCAAAACACCAAAAAGCCAGCTACCAATCACAGTTCCCGCGCCTGCCCACCTCCACTCACTTTGGGGGTGTCAAGTTGACCAACCAACTCATTGCACACTCAGCAAGAATATATTGTAAATTTTCAACTGAAATTATTGCATAGTTTGCAATTGTCAGCGTTTTGTTTTCCCCACAATGAAAATGAAATTCTGCTCAAGTAGATTATAGTGGGGAATTTTAGTGTAATTGAGTATACTCAATTACTCAGTTTGATATCCTACTTGGTCGATCTCCAGTGCGATGTCTATCGAGACTGGTTAAACTCCAGACGCCATTTTTCCATCCTCGTTTGCAGTAACAATCTCAAAGCGATGAAAGCCTCGGACATTTTGTAGCTTCAGGCTAACATTTTGGCTGTTCTGAGATTACAGTTTAGCCGAATGACCAAACTGAACGCCAATCTTTCAGCGTTTGTAGTGATCGGAAACGGTTAATCATTGAGTTTGTCGATATCCGGTTCTGTTGTTCATCATATTTGGCAGGTCAGAGAGATTACAGTTTCTGCCGTGAGAAATCTGCTTGATATAGCTCTTGGCTTGTCGTCCACTGCTAGCTCTTCCTTGTGTGGATTCCCACAAAAGAACTTCAGTGATTGATTGGGCGCATGTAGCCATTTGATAACAACCTGCTTTGGGGTTATGATAGTCACCAGTTCCAGCCTATATATTATAGATACTGAAAAAATAGTAATACCTTTGAAATAAAACAAAATAACATCATGTAAAAAAGAGAAATAACTTAGAAGTTACAATCAGAGATCGGAACATCAATGTCATCGATTAAAGTGACCCCTATTCAAACAAGCTTTTCATTAGTTTGGATGATTATGAAGTATTATAAATTTATGTCTATATCTCTGAGATGAGGTATTATGATTGCTTACATTATCTTCATCTTCATTGCCATATTCACAATGTTTCGGCCGTTGTACGCCCCGGCTTTATTCAGATGATTGAAATTTCGAACCGAACATTTTATTTCGTCCACCTGGGTATATTGTTCTAGTTCCACGTTCCATGCCTCTTCTGGATGTCTTAGTTATTTCCCTTTAACTCAACTCTTCAAGTTTTTGTTCACCACTGCTATAACCTGGTATTGACTTCACAACTCTTTGGGTCTAATTTTATCCACTGCGCAATGTATCCTTAAAGGGGAATAACTGAGACATCTGGAAGAGGCATAGAACGTGGAACTAGAACAATGTACCCCAATGGACGAAATAAACGGTTCGGTTCGAAAATCCAAACACCTGAAGAAAGCTGGAGCGTACAACGGCCGAAACGTTGTGAATATGGCAATGAAGATGAGGATAATAGTTTGAATAATGTAAATAATATAAATTATTTGTACGCTCGGCACTGGAGATCCGTATTCTGGATTATTCCTCATGTCTAGAATACTAGCACAATATGTTCTATATCATTTTTTTTTATTTGCATATCTCACTAACTAGGCTAAACTTAAATGCGTTTGTTCAATTATTTATTTATTTTTCAGTATAATCTTTTTTTCTGTCCTGTCGGTGAGGGTTACACTACATCGACTGCATCTACGGCCTTCTTCAGGTGGTTAGAATGTCGAACTGAACCCTTTATGTTGCTCACTGGGGTAGACTGTTTTTCTACGTGCCATGTCTAATGGATGTCAGTTATCAGTTATCTCCTGTTAATTCTCCTCTCCAAGTTCTCCACCGCCTTAACCAGGTGTCATGTCACTGGATCTAACTAACGCCTTTATCCCCTGTGCCATGTGTCCTTGAGGCCGGAGCGTACAGCGGCCGAAACGTTATAATAAATATGGCGACAAAGATGAGGAAAATAGTCCGAATAATGTAAATAATGTGTTTTAATCATCTTTATATATATACTTTTTAATGATTATCTCCCTTCCGGGCGTATGTGATCATGACCCGCCATACAATTCTTTTCTTTTATTATCGCCAAAGTTTTATGACGTTTTAGGAAATATGGTGAAACAGCTGCCACCCAAGCCGAAAAAGTTAAATTTACCTTGCTATTTAACTCATGACAGGGAAAAGAAGATATGGATTCCTGCCTTTCCCAAGGTCATTAGTACGAAAGTGAATGCAACTGATTAGACCGGAGTTTGAACTCCGCTCACTGATTCTACATTCCTCGCTGATAACTGAATATCTGAACTTCAAAATAAATAAATTTAACAAAAATATTGGCAATATGAAAAACGTTTCCAAAACATCAGAATGTATTAATATACATATATATATATAATATAATATGCATCTATATAAAAATGCCTATTTAGTAACGCACTGGTGTGAGTCTACATGTAATGTAAATAGTTTTAGGACATTACTTTTTTTATTTCATTCCTTTTACTTGCTACTTTATTCTAGTATCTTTAAATACGATACAAGGAAAGGGAAGAGGCGGAGAGAGACGATTGAATTGACCTTTTCACTTATTCGTTCTTAATTTCCCCTTTGCTCGGCGATATCTCTTCGGGCGTTTTCCGTTCAAGAATCACTGCAAATCTTTTGACGTGTAGTGATTGCGCGAGTGAAAGTAGTTCCCTCCTAGCTCTTCTACATTTTGCCGGAAGGAAAAAGGTCTGCAGCAGGAACAATGAGAGCGAAAATATAGGAAAGGAAAGAAAGAAAGAAAGAAAGAAAGAAAGAAAGAAAGAAAGATGAGTAAATTAGAGAGAGAGAGAGAGAGAAAGAGAGGCGTGGTGGGGGAGATGTCTGAAGGAGTTAAGTGAGAAGCGAAAAGGCAATAAAGCAAGGAAGGAAGAATTCAAAGAGAAGACAGCAGGAAACGAGGATGATTATTAAAGTGAAGGGCAAAAGACTTCAACGAAAAGCAGAAATAATGTTTCAAGAAAGAACGAGTGTGGAGATGAAAGGAAGCAAGAGAAAAGAATAAAAGGGGACAAAAGAAATTAAGTCAATATTTAAAGGAGACATTTTAAGGAAAGAAAAGGAGATATAATTATGACAAGAAAAAAGGGAGGTAATCCGAATATAAGAGGCTTTACGAAACCAAGGAAATAGTTAGAATCGGGCGGAAAAGAAAAGGAAGAAAAAAGGCGAAATTTATCAAAAGGAAAAGGAAATAAACCTGAACGAACATAAATTAAAATCTGATAAAGCAAAGAATAGACAAAAAAATGATCAATATAAAAGACTTTGCTGAAAAGAACGTAACTGCGAAAAAATCAGAACTGAAGTTGGAAAAGAAGAAAAAAAGAGGAGAGGAGAAAAGCAAATTTTTTTTTTAAATTTAAAAAATAAGTGAAAGGAAAAGTCAGATCGCAGCGACAAGAAAACCTTGTATAAATTGATTAGCGTAAGTGACGATATTAAAGTTAGAGGCGAGATCTTTCGCTGTTGACCGAATAGACAACCGGGAAATTTAGCGGCAAGTTAAAAGTAGTTCTAGCTGAGTTCAACTTTGTGAGGCGCAAAATCCTGACAAGAAGCAATATTGAAGACGACAGGTAATGAATTCGCATTTAAGCAATTATTTAACCTAATAAACGTTTAGTTTCTCTTTGGCGCCTATCATTTACATAAAAGGATCTATTCCAGACGCACACGGTCTATATATTGTGAATGTATTGTCTGCGCCATTTTACACGCATATTATTAGAAGTGTAAATATGCGGCCTAAGAATTTGTAGAATAGATTGAAGCAAGAAATCAGAAAGTCTGAGAAAGTAGCATTAACAATTGGGTTTAGTCTTAACTTAGATACGCCTGGGCAATCATGTTAGTATATGCATTAAGAGATGCAAACAGATAGATAGATAGATAGATAGATAGATAGATAGATAGATATGAATAGCCAAATAAAGAAAGAAAGAAGAGGCTGAATTACATATAGAGAGGTGAACAGCAAAAGAAAGAAAGAAAGAAAGAAAGAAAGAAAGAAGAGGCTGAATTACATATAGAGAGGTGAACAGCAAAAGAAAGAAAGAAAGAAAGAAAGAAGAGGCTGAATTACAGATAGAGAGGTGAACAGCAAACGAAAGAAAGAAAGAAAGAAAGAAAGGAGAGTCTGAATTACAAATAGAGAGGTGAACAGCATAAGAAAGAAAGAATGAATGAATGAAAGAAAGAAAGAAAGAAAAAAGAGGCTGAATTACATATAGAGAGGTGAACAGCGAAAGAAAGAAAGAAAGAAAGAAAGAAAGAAAGAAAGAAAGAAGAGGCTGAATTACATATAGAGAGGTGAACAGCAAAAGAAAGAAAGAAAGAAAGAAAGAAGAGGCTGAATTACATATAGAGAGGTGAACAGCATAAGAAAGAAAGAAAGAAAGAAAGAAAGAAAGAAAGAATTACAGATAGAGAGGTGAAAAAAGAAAGAAAAAAGCTGACTGAGAGATAGAAAGGTGAACAGCCTAAGAAAGAACGAAGCAAAGAAAGAAAAGGCTGATTGACAGCTAGAGAGGTGAACAGCTTAAGAAAGAAAACACAGTCTGACTGACAGAAATGTCTGATTGACAGATACAAAAGAGAACAGACTAAGAAATAGAGAAAAAGAAAGAAAAAAGTTTCCCTTCTGCTAGATTGGCTCCTACTCAAGACAAGAGAGACCAGTCTACCCTACTATTTAACCGATAGCTAGACGAAACCTCTTTTAAGCATATCCGCTAAGTGTGATTGTCTCTTATTTAAAAAAAAAAAACGCCTGAATATTTTATATATTAACTTTCTTTCAGTATCATTGCACGATACTTGAGGACTCTTCCAAATAGCCCAATAATTATAATCTCGTCTATTCTCGCGTGAATATTGTCACATACGCAATTTATACCACGTTTATATTAATGTTCCATGAAATAGAACTCAAGATAAACCTTTCCAAAACAGAAACTATGATCTGGAATTGAAATTAAAACAATGGTAGCACATACCCTGTATCCATAATATAAATTCGAAATGTAGAATGAATAAATACTGTGTATTTTGGGTACCTCGGTATATGGATCTGTCATTAAGGGGTAGTTTTACCCAACACTGCAAATTGCTACAAAACATTAATCAAAGAACTCGAGTCATGTTCTGAAATAGCCTTGTTAAATCAAAACTTTCATGTGGATGTCAGACCTGGCGCCAAACACCTCCAGAAATATCTGAACTGTCGGTTGTATAAAACCGCTTTCTCAGATCAAATGGTTAAAAATGGCTTCGAGTGAATGAATTTAGTAAATTTTGGCGAGGACCATTCTCATATGAACCTCATGGATTTGCGTTGCAGAACCAGAAAGACCTATACAAAATAACGGAAACTATGTCAATCGAGGACCTTCAACAGCAGCAATAACTAAAATGAATAACACATGCAACTCGAAGAGAATATAATGGCATAATCGAGATGTTAATGTTCCGCACTACTTCAAATAGAAGATGAAGAAGGAAGACCACTGTCAATATTGAAAAGAGAAATAGCTTGTGATCTTTTCCTGGAAAATGGTTTTAATATCTGTCTGTATTTCAGTTTGACATTCCAACCACCTGAATAAGGTGGGAGTGTACAACGGCCGAAACGTTCTGATAAATATGACAACAAAGATGAGGATGATAGTCCGAGCAATGTGAATAGTGTAAAATGGTTTTAATAGAAAGATTTTATAAATTTCAAACCGAAAGCAGTACTGACTGCCCGATCAATGAATACCGAATGTTTCTTTATAAGGAAATGGCTAATATCAGCATTAGTTTACGCAGTAGTAACAGATATCTGTTAGCCTCATTTTCAGGTTTGATGGGTATGGTTTGTTTTATGGCATATCAATCTCAATAGGTTATTTAATGCCAACAAAATTTTCATTGTTGATAATATTTTTTTTCCAAAAATCTATTGCTGGTAATATTTTTTCCTTCAAAAATCTATTTCTGGTAATAATTTTCGTTCGCTGGTAATATTTTTTGTCAAAAAATGTATTGCTGGTAATATTTTTTTACAAAGTATTTCAGGTATTAAAACCTATTTTTACATTTTCATAGTGTTTTGACCCCAGTTTGGGGCTAAACTATTTGCCAATAGCTGGGGCCCTAACAGGTCCTACCACCCCGGGTCAGGGTGGACCAGGGAGCACCAGTAATTAAGTGGTGGTTTCCCACTCCTCAACACCTCCTGATCAGAGATCTTGTTGTTTGACGTATTTTATCGACATACCCAGGACGGAGGTTTGATGGCAATCAATCCCATTATGGTCATAAGGATTTTTTTTAAATATCCAATCCTTTCAGTGTGTAGACATTATTGCTTTAACCATTCGCCCTTGCATGGAGTATTGCTGCCATATATGGTATGGGGCATCTTCTGTTTACCTCGGAGTTCTTGACAAGATCCAGAGACGGATATGTAATATAACTGGCCCTGATCTGGCGTCTCGTCTAAAGTCACTCTCTCACAGACGCGCCGTCGCCTCTCTCTGTCTTTTTTACAAATACTTTCATGGTAATTGCTCCGATGAGCTGCATTCACTGGTTCCCAGACTCCATGAATTCAAGCGCCCTACGAGGCTGGCATCCCGCTCCCACCCTTACACTGTAGAAACTTTTAAATATAGCCGTCTCTTCTACTCCAATAGCTTCATACCTCGCACCTCTCGCCTGTGGAACACCCTTCCCAATTACTGTTTCCCTGAGAGCTATAATCTCCAACTATTCAAATGTAATGTCAATCGACATCTCCAGTTACCTTGATCTATCCACTATCCTTCTCCTCATCCTTTCTTCTATCACTCTTATCTGCTCTTGCTCCAAATCTTCTGCAACCCCCTGCATCCTAGTGGCTTCAAGCCTTGCTCGGGGCGTAATGTTTATATATATATATATATATATATATATATATATATATATATATATATATATATATATATAATTTTCTTTATTCTGTACGCATTTTGGAAAAGACAGTGCTGTAGTTTCCCGTTGTTTTCAACAGTTCTGAATTCAAAGTAGTCTTTCTCTTAGACTGGTGTCACCCAAGGCTGGAGAACTCAGTCTACCATACTGTTTAACCGCCTCCTGGAAGGGAGAGAGCATCGATTCATGCTTGGCTCAATTATAATGTTCGGTTAATGAATGCTAAAATTTTCCTAAATAAGGATACGACTAATATTACCATTATTAGTAGCATTTATTTATAGGCGTTGCTATTTTGATTTTTTTCCTAAACAGGAATATATATATATATATATATATATATATATATAAAAGAAAGAGGTTATAGTGGTTCCAACGAGAGAAAAGAGTGCATATTAAAAAGAAGAGAATAGAGGTGCCGCAAACGTTTTTGGTTGTAATGTGGATTTTTTAAAAATATTATGCTTTATTTTCCATCGCGAGACCACGTGTAGTAAAATTATGGAAAATAAAGCATAATTTTTTTTTTTTTAAATCCATATTACAACCAAAAACGTTTGCGGCACCTCAATCTCTTTCCTTTATATATATATATATATATATATATATATATATATATATATATATATAATTATTATTTAAAAAAAATTATAACATAAATATGTTATAAAATCACTACAAACATAGCCATTTCGTTTCAACACCTCCGGTGTCTTATCAAGTGATGATGTTCAATAATAATTATATCTACTCTACTTTGTATTGAGCACTCTTTTTAAGAATAGTAATTGTTGGTTATTGGAATTCATTCCGTATATACCAATTATATACTTGTATATATATATATATATATGTATGTACGTATTTCACGGTTGACTTGAAGTTGAAATCTGGCGTCAGTTTGCTATGTTTTTTCAAGGGTAAAGATCAGGTCTCAAGGCTGTTTATACACGAATGTCATATTGGAACTCAGATCAGAAATATAGAACGAGTTCCAGCTGATGACAGCAGGTGTCTTGTTGGTTAAATTACTAGCCGTATATTATCATGCCAGTGTGCAATGAGTATAGATGGAAAAATATAGGGCCAATTTTTTCTAGGTATATTTACATAAATAGGCATCTATATCTATGTACACGTACGACGCAATCCAGGTGCTTACATCATTTCACCTTTCTTGACATGTCTTCTATCACAATCCCCGGTATATATAATAACAAAAGGACTGATTAGTGAGTTCCTCACTGGGTGCCCCTTAATTTCGGCCTTGTGCCACATCTAAGCTACGCTTGGAAAATCACTATATTTAATAACAAAAGTGATGAAAACGTAAACAAAAAGAAAAAGAAACCAAATGAAATCGGCTAAGCCATATATCCAAACACATCAATCAGTTAAGTACCATGCGTATCTTCTGATACATGACTGACGAGGCAGATCTTTTCCCCGCAGTAGATTGCCATTTCTTTCTGCGGTAGACCAGTTGACAACCATGGCTATAGAACCCGGTCTGTCCTGCTAATTATATATGAGGGAAGGAGAAGAAGATGATTCATACCTTTCCCAAGGGTATTAGCACGTAAGATAATGTAATGGATTCAACTGGAATTCGAACTCGGCTCTCCGATTCCTCCATCCGAGCCGCTATACATTACCTCCTAACACAGTTACGAAAAAACAAAATTTAATTTAAAATTTCAGTGACCTTTCTCCTTCCGGCGTATGTATAATCAGATAAACGTAAACAATACTTTAGTCCGATGAATTTCTAAAATACCATAATTTTTCCTAAAAGTTTTCTGATATATAACAAATTGTTGTTGGGCACCTCGAGATGGTGTAATCGTTGTCTCGCTAAAATAATTACGAATGAGTAGTGAGTTCGATCCTCACTGGGTGCTACTTCGGTCTTATGCCACATCCAAGGTACGCTTGGAAAATCACTATAATAAATTGATATGTCTTTTTCCCATATATGTTGTGGGGGGGGATCGATTAATATGAGTATGTTCATACACTGATTACATCCGAGGGGTGTGCTGAAACGAATATGGGGCCGATTTTTTTCCAAAATTATCAAAAACTGACTAAATGATTTCTAGTGGTGAAGGGCTTCCTGGTTGGTCCGAGAACTTTTCAGCGCCCCCATCGTATATGCGCATATACGAGTTACTACCCAAAAGTTGACGGAATTTAAACAGCGGGCTGGGGCGTAATTTAGTAGAATAGAATTTTTCTGGAGGTATTCTGATGATGATAATGATGATGATGTTGTGATTTTGGTAATAAATAGAATTTGATTATGAGAATTATGATTATGATGATGATGATGAGAGTTTGGTAATAAACAGTACTTGATTAAAGGATGATGATGATGATGATGATGACTGATGATGAGAGTTTGGTGGTTAATAGAACTTGATTATAGGCATTATGATGCTGCTGCTGATGATGATAGTTTGGTGATAAATAAAACTTGATAATAGACATTATGATGATGGTGATGATAGTTTGGTGATAAATAAAACTTGATGAAAGGCATTGGTTCGACCTGAAGAGGGATAGATTCCAATATCCCTACATGTCCAAGATAAGCTATGTGTGAATGAATAGTTCCCTGCTTTTAATCAGACATTTGGAAGGAACTGGTCAAGTGCTTATCTGCTGAGTGACCCTACGACTCCACTCGGTCATAAGGATGATGATGATGATGATGATGATGATCTACTAAGTCTTCGTGCAAGCATTTTTTTCTGTTACGAACCTTTTACAATGGTTTTGTTCTTGTCTTTTCAGGTAATCCCCAGAACAGTGTCTTCGACCGCTGGTTCACGTGCTCTCTGTCTGAATTCATTCGCATAGGTAAGTTTTTCGAAATTATTCTATTAGTTGATTCTTAGGGATTTTTCTGAATGTGGAAAGAAAGAAAATTCGCGCCTATCAAGCTTAGTCTTGTGAACTGGTTGTGATTCTTTGTTTTTTAAAGCTAAAAACGAGGAGGCAAATTAAGAAAAACCTGAAGAGATAAAAAGAGGTCCGCATGGATCCAAGAACAAATATTATACAAGTGATGAAGTAACAAAACATGTAGGTGAATGGGATACATAAGTAAGAAGGAAAGGTAACAGCTGGAGCAAAAAGATCGCAAAAAAAACGCAGTAGGAAAAATGAAACAGAAGACAAATGTAAAGGAAGTTTCTGATGAGGAAAAAGCGCGGTCACTGTGATCAAGAAAGTATTTTATATGTATCTATTTTATCCTATATTTTATACAGTGTAACCCGGATATAAGAGAGTTGTCGGGACCGGAGAAGAAGTCTCTTATATCCGGGTTTCTCTTATATCCGGGTTTGGTCTACTATATACATTAACACAGGCTCTAATTTGGGACCAGAGAAAATCTCTCTTATATCCGGGTTTCTCTTGTACCCGGGCCTCTTATATCCGGGTTACACTGTATATAGAATATATTTTATATATCCTATAGATTATAGGAGGCAGTAATGGATAGCGGCTCGGACTGAGGAATCGGAGAGCCGGGTTCGAATTCCAGTGGAATTCACTACATTCAATTACATGCTAATACCCTTGGGAAAGGTATGAATCCTCTTCTTCACCTGGGGGAGAAGAAGAGGAATCATACCTTTTCTTCTTCTTCTCGGCAAGACAGACCTATAGCCTTGGATGGCAATTGGTCTACCATGAAATGGCAACCTACTGCGGGAAAAAATCTGCCTCGTCAGTCGGAATCGGAGAGCCGAGTTCGAATTCCAGTCGAATCCATTACATTCACTTACATGCTAATACCCCTGGGAAAAGTATGAATCTTTTCCTTCTCCCCCATCTATGGGTAAATAGCAGGACAGACCAATAACCTTGGATAGCAATTGGTCTACCATGAAATGGCAACCTACTGTGGGAAAAAAAATCTGCCTCGTCAGTCATGTATCGAAAGATACATGATCGCCTAAGCGTATATCACGCATGGCACATAACTGAATGATATATTATAATATATATTTGTTAGGTTTTTTCAAAATATGCAATAAAAATGTCAACATTACTTAACTTTATACATTGCTTACTTATCTTTATTCCCAAACAGTGATCTAAATGCTGGGGTGACTTTATCCGTATTACTTGGCACATGAATTAAACTCACTATTACTATGCCACCCAGTTCACTAGCCAATATTTTAATCTTTTAAATAGTCTAGACGATATACATAAACTCATTGAAAAGAGGACTAACAATGACCTAGCCCTATTAAAAGGACAATCAAGATGAGCTATCCCTAGACGCAGGTAGCTAAACATTCTATCGCCGTAGATTAAGTACTGGATTCAGTCCGAAATTTCCTGAAGGTTACATAGATCAACAGGCACCTGAAGAAGGCCGAGGGGCACAACGGTTGTAACGTTGTGACAGTCATAACAAAGATGAAAGCATGAGGTTCGACTGCAAATAATGTAAATAAAAAATGTTTTGCTGATTTCACACTCCTTCTCCGGTCTTTTGAACAGGAGTAGAAATTTATCAATCGTTTCCTGTTTAGAATTGGTTTTCCTTCTAAAGTCTTATTCTCTTTCACTCCCAGTACCCTTTTGCGTCTTAGTGGCATTATCGCCTTGCTTTGGGGTGAAATCATTAAAAAATAAATAATTTTTCGATTTCTTTGTAATTAGCCAAGTGTTTCGTAGAAGAAATTAAATTTCAAATTTCTTCAGGGGGATGAATTTACAAACCAGCGCTATCACTAACACCGAATTCATTTACTTACCGCCTCAATTAAGGAGCTTTTTAATGACATTTCATGGATCCTTTTCATAGGAAACGTATAGGACATATCAGTTAATTGTATTTTCTTAAACCTAAATCTGCCTAAGTTTTCAAAGGTTGCTATAGCAGCGTGTCGTAGGACATTTTTGTGCTTAAAGACACCCTTCCATTTCATTTTTTTTTAAATCAATTCACCCCAAGCAAGGTTATGATGTCACTAAGATGCAAAGGGTTACTGGGAGTGAAAAAGAATGAAAAGACCTTAGAAGGAACCGGGAACACAAGCCTGAACAGGAAACAAGGGGTAAACCTCTACTCTTGTTCAAAAGATCGTAGAGGTGTTTGAACCGGACAATAGGCGAACCTATATACTCCAATTGAAAAATAAATAAATAAATAGTAAACAGAATTTCAGAGTTTAAATTATAAGTATAGAGTTGAAGTAGACTTTGGAAGGAACTGAAAATTCAATCCTAAGTGGGGAACAAGGGTTAAAATTCTAAACCTGACCTTGTAATTGTGCTATGGGTCTCCTTAGGTAGCCAATGTTGCCAGCTCTCATTCAGAGCAGAATAAAACCAACTGATTGACTCCTTTACCTTGATTTATGGAAGCGGGGGAGGAAGCAATCCTATGCTTATTTCTTCTTCTTGATTCTGTCGGTTGGTGTTTAGGAAGGCGAGATATCAAAAAACATTCTTATTTTTATTATTATCATTTTATTGATCTGTTGGGACGCACTATATTATTGAATGTCTGGGCATTTCAACGTGACAGCTATCCTGACTGTCGGAATTATAACCGAGATCTCAATGCGTAGCACATGTTTTTCATTACTTTTCACTTTGGTACGATGCCATAGCAAGATAAAAGTCTGCGTCATCTGTTAAGCGCTTCTCACTCGAATAAGGATTTGATAACAGGAAAGATAATATTCAGTCATTATTATTATTATTATTATTATTATTATTATTATTATTATTATTTCCTTTGATGTCTATTTTATACACATTTCCTTTCGGGTCCCAACCAGAGACCTAAGGTCAGAAATAGCTTCATGTCATTTTCCACTGATCATTTTTGTAATATAAAAAACAATCTAAGATCACACATATTTTGCATAGATAAAGCTCTTCGTAGTAATGTGTGAGCTGTACTTGTGAGTACAATTTTCTGTATTT